AAACCTAATAACAAGGTCTACAGTTGGACCTTTCTGTTTCTACTAGTTCTTCAAATGCATATTCCTTCATTCACATGTCTTGGTAAGATGTTGTATTGTCTAAATTAGGAAGGTTTTAAGAAGATTAAAGCCTATCCTTAATAGTAACCATAAGGTGTCACTTTCCACTTAATCAGAAAAACAGGATTTAAAATTGGTTTGCTACTATGACAACCAATGAACCAGTCTTATATTTGATTTCCTAATAAACCAATCTGAATGGTAAAGACAGTTTTCCTAATTTTCGAAGTCTGTTTCTTTTCTTAAGAGATAATATATGTTTAATCCTTGCATTAAAAGGTTGCTCAGTTAATTTATCAAAATATTCATAAATTCACAGTCTTATTAGTTGTATTTATAAAATCACTTCTGGAAGTAAAATACTGTATCAACTAGCTCTGTTTGGGTTGTTCCAATTGCTTGTTCTTATCATATCTAATATGAACAATTTTTTTTCTATGTATATTTGGAAAAAAACACTCACTTCAAAGACAGGGAGTATCATATATCTGGCACACTGAATACATACAGATGGAATATGGCATGACACTCCGAAACTGAGCACAAGGTACTGACAGAAGCTACTTGTTTAGACTGAAAACACAACTGAATTGAGCTACTTAACTGTACCTATAAAAAGTGAATTCATCTGGTTTAACTAGAGGCGCCTAGGACCTGAACAAGATCTTCCTGAATTGATGAATTCTCTCAATTCTGATTCCTTTTCTCAATATTTGGTTCTATCTGTCTATAATTCAGAACTGAAACTACATTTCAACTCAGTTATTCTGCAATAGGCAGAAGTATTTTACTTCTATACTTGCTTAATTTACTGAGGTTATATTAGGTTTCTCAAATTATCCTTTAAACTTTTACCAAGGAGAAAGGAGCGTTTTTATCTAGTTGACTAATAATAAAGTTAACAAAGATAATTTGGGAGAGAGTCAAAATACTGTCTATAACCAAATACGTAAAGCCATCATTATTCCTATCTTTCTTTCTTGCCCCAACTTGGGACAAACAAACAAAAATTCATCCATGTAGCTTCGTTTATATTTTTAACTTGTCTGTGGGTTCTTGTAAGGCCTTTTCTCTAAAAAGAGGATTGATTTCTAACCTTCATTATTTATGCTCACTAGGCATCTAAGTTAGTTCACCTCACTTAATGAATGTGTGAATAAATCAATTCCATCAGTGAAATAGGAATGAAAGCAGCCACCCTGAAGGAAACTTGGTAACAGCTGGGAGAGGCAGAACTTGAAGGGAAAAGAGGAAATTGCTGCAAGTAAACACTTGCCCTTTCCTTCTATTTGCTGAGGAATATTAGTTGCAATACCCCTGGAGCAAGATGATGGATAACTTCCTAATAAAATGTTTATTAGGCATGTCACTGGATTAAATTCAGGTTTAGCATTCCCACAGATTTATATTGAGTTTTTTCCACTTTTTAAATCTTTTTTGTACTTTTATCAACAATCACAAAGCCTGGAAAGACTGAATAAATATTGCCTGTTATATGTCTGAATGGATTTGCAATTGCCTTTTTCTTTCTCTTGTTAAGAGATCATGCACTGCATTGTTTAGCAAAACATTTGTTTTTGCAATAGGGCCGAGTTGAACCAGACAGAAGTGGGCATCTCTTTGAAATTATACCTATAAGGTCAGTAAAAAATTGCACTGCACACTTGGTTTTTCAAAAGCCTTTGACAAAGTTCTTCTTGAAAAAATACTGAACAAATCCAGCTGCCATTGGGTGTATCGACAAGTGTTCTTATAGATTGGCAACTTGTAACAAACAAAACAGAGAATAGGGAAAAAGTAGCCAATTTTAATACTGGAAAGATGTGCAAAGAGGCCCCATAAAGATTTCCATAGGGACTGATATGTTTTTTATCTTGTACATAAATATCTAGAGTTGGGGTTTAGCAATGAAGTGGCCACATTACCTAATGATAAAATTATTCATAGTAATCAAATTGAAATGGTGAACTCCCAAAAGATCTCTGTAAAATTAGTAAATAATTTCACTAATTTTAATGTAATAATAATGTCATTATAAAAAAAACTATGGTAATAAAATATTTGAAGCACTGTATACCTATCTAGTCAATGCACCTTAAAAAATTATAACGGAGAATATATGCCCCCAAAAAGCAACCAAAATGGTTATTGGTCAGGGCAGTTCCCCTAAAACACTGGTCCCCAAATTTTCCAGCTCGGTGGAGGCAGTAGGGTGGGGTAGGGAGAGGGGATGGTTTGGCTCACATGCATGCACCACTTTCACAAGTGCAGCTTCATGCGCACACTCATGCACACCACTTCCGCACCCAGTTCTGAACAGGCTGCAACCTGGGGGGGTTGGGGACCTCTGCCTTAAAAGGAAAGAATACAGCTATTTAAGTTCTTTAACATAAGGAGGAGGGTAATAGGAATTTTAAAAAATTGATAAAATTGTGCATCTCCTAGGTCCATGATGGCAAACCTATGGCACGCGTGCCACAGGTGGCACGCAGAGCCATATCTGTGGGCACACAAGCGTTGCCCTAGCTCAGCTCCAGCATGCACATGCGTGAAGGCCAGCTGATTTTCGGGCCTTTCAGGCCCACCGGAAGTCAGGAAACGGGCCATTTCCAGCCTCCGGAGGGGTGGGGAAGGCCGTTTTCGTCCTCCCCAGGCTCCAAGAAAGCCTCTAGAGCCTGGGAAGGGTGAAAAACGGGCCTACCGGGCCCACTGGTAACCTTTTTGCTATTGGGTGCCAAAAGCGGGGGGAGTGCGGAGGGGTCACACGCGCATGCGCGGGGCAGCATTGAATTATGGGTGTGAGCACGCTCACCTGCAACCTCCCCGTTTTCCCCCCGCTTTTGGCACACGATGGCAAAAAGGTTAGCCATCACTGTCCTAAGTAATGTGGATAGAACGATTCAGGATAATATATACCATATATAAACTGAAATTTGCTATCAGCAGTTGTGGCAATGGAAACCAATTTGGATGATATCAAATGAGGACTGGATGGGTTCCTAGTGGTGACTATTTAGTAAATAGTAATGACTATTTGCTACAGAGGTGGGTTTCAGCAGGTTCTTGCCAATTCTGGAGAACTGGTAGCGGAAATTTTGAGTAGTTCGGAGAACTGGTAGTAAAAATTCTGACTGGCCCCACCCCCATCTATTCTCTGCCTTCCAAGTCCCAGCTGATCGGGAGGAAATGGGGATTTTGCAGTAACCTTCCCCTGGAGTAGGGAAGGAATGGAGGTTTTACAGTATCCTTCCCCTGGAGGGGTGGGAATGGAGATTTTACAATATTCTTCCCCTGCCATGCCCACCAAGCCACACCCACCAAACCATGCCATGTCCACCAAGCCACACCCACAGAACCGGTAGTAAAGTATTTTGAAACCCACCACTGATTTGCTACCCCCTAAATCACAGACAATATGGGTAAAATATTGGGTACCAGGAAGTAACAATTGAAGGGTCTATCATGCTCCCATTCAGGCTAATAAACTCCTAAAATGCAGTTGGATGCTCTGACCCTGCAGAGCTCTTCTTATATATTAGCTATAAATATCTTACTCTCGTGATTTCAATAGCTTTGCTCTAAGTAAGTTTAAGTGAATGCAACCTAATGCAAATATTTTTTTTGTTTAAGTAAGAATCTCCTTGCGAATGAATTTCAATAACAATTATCTACATTGTAAAGTTTGATCAGAATTATGGTGAGCTTGATCAAATGAAACATTAATACAATTTTATTTAAAATGCCATTTTTGAGGCTTAAAAACAAAAACGAAACAAAAAATAAGCACACAGAAAACATAAGAAAACTTATAATATAAAACAAATACGATGGCATTCTAGAATGATTCAAGAAAGGATTTTTAAAACAGTCTTTTAGCACATTAAAATATTGTGAATGGAAAGTAACATGCAGTAGATTTTTTTTCAGAAAATCTTTAAAGACTTAAACTTTATGAGAATTAATACTAGAGATCACTTGCTGTGAATAGTTAGTATACATATCTGGTAATACAAAAATTTGTGGACACTTTTCTGGTAATATAAATGTATAACTATATCAATTATACACAGACATTAATGTGTATGCACAATATCTCTAGACTCTTCACATTTCATAGCATCACTTTCAACCAATATATTGAGAAAATATTCTATTATGTAACTTTTCAATATCAAGCAGTTTGAGGACACTCCTAAGATTTTAAGATTATATTAATTCAACTGTATACTGCTTCTCACATACACATTTAATGCAGAAGTTCTTTCTGCCCATTTTAAGAGAAGTTGTGAAATTTCAGATTATGTCATTTTCATGAGGAAAAATATTTTTTTTACAATTTATTTTTAGAGTTTAAGACAAAAGAAGTAACACTTTACACAACATGAACAATATCCCATAGCATATCAAAAATGAATATCCAGTTGTCATTAAACATAGATAGTAACTTAAATCAAAAAGCCTACTTCTCTTCACACAGAAAGACAGAACAAAAGGGACAATGTTTAGAAAAAACCAATAGCTGCTACAACTTGGAACCACAATTTTATATTCTAATTAACAAAACTAAGGGACATTAACAAATTTGGCCCAATTAAAGCAACATCAAAACAGAAATGGAAAAGCATGTATTATACATCAAATTTAGATTCAGACCACACTGCCCTATTTTTTCCTAATACACCAGGAAACATAGCAATGATCAAAGTTGAAATAAAGACTGAGGTCATATGAAAGAGGTGGTCTACAGAACTCAAATAAGGGTTATAAATAAACAAAGCAAAAAAAGCAAAAAAGAGAGAAGTGCATTGTAGATAGGTGTATGGCATTAATTCTAATTAACTGCAATATTATATTCAGTATTATATTTTCTAGGGTAATCTACCTCCATTGGAGAAATGGAAGGTAATTTTGTAAATCATTCACTAGGGCACATTTCTCACCATTTCTTTTTCTTCCTTCCTCTTTTGTCACTTTCTGCTGTGCTGTAACTTTCTGTGGAGAGCCTCGGCATGAATTGGGCTTTCCTGATTCGTTGCTGATGACGGAACCATTTTCACTCAGCGACCGGCTGCAAGTAACCATAGCAACAAGGAAGAAGACTAAATTTTTCCTGCATATTTGTCATTTCAAGGTTATTGCATTTGCTTGGCCTGTATCACCGCCTATTCCAAGCCTGATTTTTATAGACAAATAAATATTTATAGTATGTTGCAATGAAGAAACATAAAAACAGCAGGAAGGCATCCATAGTATTTCCAGGGCGGAGGTTGTTATAACAACCAGAAGTCAGAACAATCTCTATGCGTGGCTATTGTTTTCTTTATAAGCTCACAATAATAAAGGGAAAATCTTGCAACAAAAAGAGATAAAGGCTTTCCCCCCCCCCCTCACATAGAGGCCATTAAATAAATAATTCTCAATACATGTATCTTTATTCTAATATTGGTTTAACATATTGCTACAAATTCATTCCATGGCTTTTTATAAAACCAGAAGAGAAATAAAGAACATTTTCTGGTAGGGAATTCATCTTTAGCCAAATTTCAAAAATAGCACTAGGATAAAGGACACTATAATAATATAAAATGTTTGACAGTCTCTGGAAAGAGGGAGAAAGCTTTTAAAAAAAAAACACTACAAGATTTCCTTTTGTGAATGTATAACTAAGATATTCAGATGTGGATTCATATTCCTGTTCACAGCCTTGTGTAAATATTATGCACACATTTTAAAACAGTAAAGCAAACAGCAGAGCACAGCTGGTTTAATAGTCAAATCTGCAAGAAAATGGGAATGATCTGCTTACATTTTAAAAATAGCCATAAACCAACCATCACACTCCCTATGCCTTATTGAAACAAGCCATGATTATTAGCTCTTTTTTGAATATAATTTATTTCATTCATCCTTACTTGGAACAGTTCATCCAATGTCCAGGTCTAAGCATAACAGCAAAGAATGAATAGGTGTAAATGTAACAGCAAAATAGTTAGCTGGAGATGAAGTCAAAATTTGTAATCTCTTCTATGTCACTGTGCACAAGACAGGTGAACAAATCTAAGGCAAGCATAGAATGGTATATATTTATCTCTGAAGCTGAGATGCTTCAAAGAAATATCAAGTGACAAATCACAACCATTTATTTAAGTTTTATGAGGTATTACTCTGACTATTCTCTACCCTTGTTCTGATGAGGTTTGTTTGATGTATTCTATGCTCTGATTTTCCCAGCGAAGAAAACTAAGGAAATTAAGCTCTCTGATAACCTTAATATATATAAACTGTTCCTAATATATTCCAAAGTATACTGTGTTGTATCTGTGTACATGCATGAGAGTAATCTTTTGTTAACTGTGTCCGAATGTAAACACTAAGACAGACCTTCCAGTCTTAAGGAGTTTCTAGTTTCCTGCTTCCAAAAATGCATGGTTTAAATACCTGGATTTTGTTGTGTTATTAATGATCTTTAGGTTCAGACTATGGTAAACTATATAGCGTGATCTATATATAATTTGGACAAAGAATGTGCAAATAAGTTCTGTGAGGAATATACTTCATTCATTCAAAGTAAACCAGTTAAGTCAGGAATTTTAATTTGTTGCTAGTATAAATGATATATATGCATTGGACTGGTTCTTCGAAATAGACTATTTTTACTTTCTTATATAGGTTATACAGATTGTTTTAAGCTCAAAAATACTTTGAAAATGGTTAAAACAGCCATTTCTGAATTAGAAGCAACTGTTTGGATGCAAAACAGAGCATGATGATTTTAAAATTGTTTGAATTTCAATTGTTCATCCCCAAGACACAAGTACATTATTGTCACAATACATAATGCTATCAGATTCTAGATTTTAACTTCAGAACAACTGCACAATAGGGTCATGATACACGTGTTAACATTTTGAGGTCTCTTATGCATAGTTTTTCATGCTACAGCATCAATCATGCTGGGAGATGTACTTCAGCAATATCTGAGATCTACAAGTTCCCTATCCCTGACATACTGAGAGACTTGTCAGAGGGGGAAAAAACAGTTCTTAAAGGGCACCATCCCGTTTGGGTTTTAAAAACAAACCTAGTTCATATATAAAACTGTGCCAGGATACTAGCCATGGAATTATATACTCCATCCCAAACAGCAATATAGCAGTTATAACATGAACTAATTAAAATTCTATGAATAATACATTACAGTAGTCAGGTAGTAATTTCTGCAAATAACAGAAATTAAGTAGCAACTGCAACTTGTCTTTGTTCAGAAGGCTTTGGATCATCAATGTGAAATGAGAAAACGATTTCTGTATTGTGGAACCAATTGGGCATCTAGGGGCACCCCCAAACTATGAACCAGTTTCTTTAAAGCACTATAATTCCATTCAGAACAGGTTGATTAGTTCTCAGACATGCAGATATTGCAACAATGAATTATTTTTCTTGATATTCTTTTTTTAAAATCTAAGCATTCAAAACTCTACCACAGAAGTTTGAGCAGATTTTTGTGTGTGCGTGAAAAGACTGAAATTGTAAGCACAGAAACAATTACAAAAATCTGTCAACCATCTAAGCCCTAGTCTTTCTGCTGATATTGCTCACCTCTTTCTTGTGTCATTGGACTTGGCAGTTTTTGCTGTGCTCCCATCCTGAACAATTTCTCTTTCCTGGGATGCAGGAGCATCTCTCACAGGAACAGGCAAAACTACGGTCTCTTGGGTGACAGGCAAAACATCATCTTCAGTCCCTTGTTGGCCTAAATGTTGCTTGGCGTAGTCAAAACCTTGAACTGGCTGAAAAAAAAGTGGGGGACTCAATGATATGCATTGCATATAACTAAAAGTGATGAAAATATGTACTTAAATGTAAGATTGCTTTTGAAATGAATTGGTATTCATTTTTAAGTATTTTAAAGCAGAACTTAAAACTATATTTTTCCCCACAAAATAGAACATCTACTGTTTAAACAAAGTAAGATTACTCCAATTTCATGCCTCCATTTTTGGCTGGTGTGACTGATGTGATTCAACTTCTTAGCATCCCTAATATCCTCATATGAGTTGTAGTTAAGTGGTTTAGTGCACCCTGTTATTAACACAGCTGCCTGCAATTTCTGCTGGTTTGAATCTCTCCAAGGCTCAAGGTTGACTCAGCCTTCCATCCTTTCTAAGGTAGGTGAAATGAGGACCCAGTTTGTGGGGGCAATAAGCTGACTTTGTATAAAATATACAAAAGAATGAAGGCTATTGCTTAACGCATTGTAAGCCGCCCTGAGTCTCCGGAGAAGGGCGGCATATAAATCAAATTAAAAAAAAAAATGGCAACAAAGGCAAGAGATTGCAAGAACAGTGTTGGTGTTTTACCAGTATTGGTAAAAAAAGAAAAGAAAAGAAAAGAACAACAACGACAGCAATGACAACAACAAGTGAGCATTTGAAAAGCATCACAGGATGATATTTGATCTGGCACAATTTTACTTTTAAACAGACTACTTACTTACTGGACTGAAATCAATAAAAAGATTCAAACAAGTAGAAAAGAGAAAATTCACTTTTGACCTTGCAAAAATTACTTGTTTTGAAATGTTAATTTTGTGAACTACAAAATAGAAACCAGTATTTCACACTTTTTAACTACATCTTGGAACATATCCATTTTTAAACTTTACCAGTGGCACACAATTGTCTGTTATCCATAATACCATCTGCTTCATGTAAATATTAACTATTCTTATGACAATAAATTACATAACAGATGCATTAAATATTATACAAGTACACCGGTTCTAAAATAATAGTTTAAACTGAACCTTTACAATTTGTAACACATGGTTTAAAACAAATGGAAACAGAATTCTTATTTAAACTTTTTTCAGATCAAATATTCATCTGTAACTATCATGCATGTCTTAAATTTGAGCAAAAGGAAGATAATTTAGGTACTTAGCTTAACTTTTATGGCTTTCCCTTTGGTATCATAGAGAGGTGTTCTTGGGTAGCAGGACAGTTTCACAAAATGGGTATAAAGTACATTCAAGGGGTAGAACTATAACATCTAATGTCCAAATATATTGTCATATATTTGGGATTGGAATGGAAAAAAACTGGCACTGGTCCCTTAACAACCAGTTACTATATATACCAGAACTATAAAGATATATAATATTAGTGGGAAACCTCTCCCCTTTTCATTACTAATTAATATGGTTGGACCAGGATCAGTAGCTGTGCGTGCAGCAGTAAAATAGGTAACCCTGGAACTAATTCTGAAAAAGAAAGCAGAAAGCTGATTTTGATGTAAGTCTACGATCCACTAACACTCCAATTGTGGAACAAAAATCAACTGAAATAATACTATGAATCTGTACAGTCAGTTTGTGTATAATATGTGTCTGCATATAAACTTTAGAATATAAAACAATTTATTTCTACAGAAACTGAACTGTAAGTATTAGCACCTTTGAAACTTGTCACTATTCATACATGGGTAAGATTACTTAACCACAATAGAAAATCCCTATTTCTATGTGACACAAAATAAACCAGGGAAAAAAAAACCCAGGAAAATATCCATTATTATTTAACGAATAAAATCCTAGGAGGAATAGAAATATTATTAGCACCATTTCTTCTTCTTCAGTCTTAACAATTAGCAATAGCAATAGTATTTAGACTTACAGTATACCACTTCACAGTGCTTTACAGCCACCCTCTAAGCAGTTTACAAAGTCAGCATATTGCCCCCAACAATCTGGGTCCTCATCTTACCCACCTCGGAAGGATGGAAGGCAGAGTCAACCTTGAGATGTTCAGGATCGAATTGGTGACAGTCAGCAGAATTAGCATGCAATATTGCATTCTAAACACTGTGCCACTATAGCTCTTCTGCTTAATTAATGCTTATAGGGCCAATAAGCTTTGAATCTGATGGTTCTATGGTGAATGAAACCAGCAATGTTTCAAATTATTTTTTATCACAAGTACAACTTCTCCTCTGAACCCAAACATCCTTTTAAAAAATGCTAGACATCTCAATGTTTAAAAAACTGGTTCATAAAAACTTTACTTTTCCTGCAACCTGAAATTATTCATTACTTTGTTGAAATAAACAGTTGGAACCACCTATACACAAATCACCCATGCACCTATCATCTATATCTGTACCCAAATTACATCTATACTTTTCAATTCTTTATTTTTTAAAAGAAAAATATAACAGATTGAATAAATACACACAAAGTTTCTCATCCTTTCTCAATTCTTAACAGACATAACATGTTTTCTTTTTTAAAATATAAACAAGATGTGTCAAGTCAATAATCAATTATCAAAATGTTATCATACATAAATTTTTTATTTTATTTTATTTCTACCCTGCCACAGTCAAACAACTCTTGGCAGCTTAGAAGTTATATAAACAAAAATTAAAACATCCATAATGGGTTAAAACCAATCAAAACAAAAAGACCAAATAGGATGATAACCCTATCAATCTCACATAGGTTCAAAGTAAGTCCTCCAAAATAACCTTTTTTACATTTCAGAAAAACTGACAAGGAGAATGCCAACCTGATCTCCATCAGGTGCCTGATATAAAGCTTATCACTTCCATAAAAAAAGTAGCACTAACTAATCTTAGTCATGTAAACCTCTTAGAAATGTGAGATTCAAGGAAATTTCTCCTTAGCTGTTCCAATTGGTTGGGCTGATGATTGTTGGATCATATGGACCTGAACGTATCGAGATACAAGTCATAAATGAATATGTAGGTCAATATCAGCATCTTAAATTTTACTTTAAAACTAACTGGTAGCCTATGCATAGCCTACAAAACAATGTTATTACATTCCCAGCCACAAACACCAATAAACATGTAGGCCACCACATTGTGGACCAGTTGCAGATTCTGGACCGGTTGCAAGAATATCTTTTAAGGGCAGCTTAATGTAAAGTTCATTGCAATAGGTAAAATAGGTGGTAATACAACATGAATTACTGTAGATGAGGCCTCTTGCCTCAGGTAGAGCTGCAACTGGCACACTAATCATAATTTCTGGTCATACCTCTACCTGCTGATAAACAGGAACTGTGAATTCTCTAGGATAGGGACCCGCTGCTTATGTAGAAATTGTATAGGGAGAGTTCCCTTTCCTCCTAATCCTCCAAATTCATTAATCCCATTTGGTCTGATTTTTGGCTCAACATTAAGATTCACACAGCCTATAAAACTGCAGAGATTCCAACTGTGAATTAGCTTTACATTATCATTTTCTGGTATACAGATTTATAATCAGGATGCAATATGTGCCAAAAAGTTCTCTGTTTGCAAATCACTACGTATACATTCACCAAGGTAGTGAAGATTCTGAAAGGGCTTTACTGCTATGGAAATATAAAAGTTTGGTTAGAACTGAAACTACCCAATTCAGAGCTAGATACCTAACAGCAATTTGAACCATGCAGAAGAATTGGCCTGAGTAACCCTCACATTAAATTTGCTTGACTATCACCAGCACTTGCTTGATTCAAACTGCTGATCGGTTATGTTCCATCAAGTTGGTGTTGTCTCACAGAAACAATACAGTAGACCTCAATTTATGACCACAATTGAGCCCCAACATCTTGTTGCTAAGCGGGACAGTTGTTAAATGAGTTTTGTCCCATTTTACAACCTTCTTGCCACAGTTGTTAAATGAATCATTGCAGCTGTTAAGATAATAACACAACAGCATTGAAAAAAGTGACTTATGACCATTTTTCATACTCATGGCTATTGCAGAATCCTCGTAGTCATGTGATCAAAATTCAAACACTTGGCAACTGGTTCATATTTATGATGGTGTCCTGGGGTCATGTGATCAGCTTTTGTGACCTTCTGACAACCAAAGTCAATGGGGAAGCCAGATTTACTTAACAAAGGTGTTACTAACTTAGCTGCACTGATTTACTTAACAACTGTGACAAGAAAGGTTGTAAAATGGGGCAAAATTCACTTAACAAATTCACTTAGCAACATAAATTTTGGGCTCAATTGTGGTAATAAATCAAGGATTACCTGTACTCCATTAAGTCCTGTAATCTTCTGACCCGATAATGATCAGACTGCTGATCTAATTTCATCTTCTAGTATCAGAGGTTTGTGCTAGTAGGAAACATCATCTAAGGGATAGGATAGGATAGGATAGGATAGGATAGGATAGGATAGGATAGGATAGGATAGGATAGGATCTGGAAGGGACCTTGGAGGTCTTCTAGTCCAGCCTCCTGATCAAGCAGGAGAGCCTATACTATTTCAGACAAGTGACTCTCTAGTCTCTTCTTAAAAACCTCCAGTGATGGAGCACCATGATTTCTGAAGGCAAGCTGTTCCACTAGTTAAATGTCCTCATTGTTAGGAAGTTTCTCCTTAATTCCAGATTGCTTCTCTCTTTGATTAATTTCCAACCATTGTTTCTTGTCCTGCCCTCTGGTGCTTTGGAGAATAATTTGATCCCCTCTTCTTTGTGGCAGCCCTTCAAATATTGAAATACTGCTATCATGTTGCCGCTAATTCTTCTTTTCTTTAGACTAGCCAAACCCAAAACTTGCAGCCGTTCTTCATATGGTTTAGTCTCCAGACCTTTTATCATCTTAGCTGCTCTTCTTTGAACTTTTTCCAAAGTCTCAACCTCTTTTGTGGTAGTATGGTGACCAAAATTGGTTGCAGTATTCCAGGTGTGGTCTTACTAGAGTTTCATAAAGCGACACTAATCTTGGATATAGATAACTCTATTGTACAGAATTTCAGTGTCCGG